CACAAATATTTAGGCAGAGATAGTTTGAGACTGTGCAAATGCCCTATTTCTCCCTAAAGTTTCACCCATGGCTTTAGCTTTCATCAGTGGATCTTGCCTGCAGCAATTACTAACTTAATTCTGGTGTTCTAATGGTGATTTTTCTATGTCTTTCAATCCTTCTGCATTTATGAATTAGAATTCCTCTGTAAGGAAGATGTGCCTCTTCTCTCTCATTTATTTATCTATTCAATCGATTGTATTTTTTTTCATTTTAAGGTTAAAATTAAAATTAATACATTAAAATTAAAATGTAATACATTCACATGGTTCAAAATTCAAAATGAATGGAAAAGTAGATGGTGAATATCTTCATCTAATCCCTACCTCTAACTACCCAGAGCAATGTCCATAAGTATTCTCTTTTTCACACAAACATTAAAAAATGTATTCATAGAGTTCTTTCACCTTTTCATCTAACAGAATAACTTGGAGATGGGTCCAGGTCAGTACATAAAGAGCTTCCTCATTCTTTTACAAAGCGTTCCAGTGTATAAATGGACCATGATTTATTAACTAGTGTCCTACCAATGAACACTTGGATTACTTCTAAACGTTTTCTATTACAGACAGTGCTTCAGCATTCCAACACATAGAATTTAAGTTGGATTCTGCTTCTCTAAAATGGGATGCTCTGTGGAGACTGGGCTGTGCGGAGGCCTGGGATTTATTAGGGTTACAGACAAGGGGTGGCTTCCTGTGTAGCAGCTGGGAAGGAAAGCTTATGTGACATATTCGGCGTTGAGAGCAGAGTCTACTTTGGTTTCCTGAGCCAGTTAGTCAACATGAAATCCTATCCTTAGTCCTGATCAGCCATGGGCACTACCCAGGAGTGTCCAAGTTGGCGTCACACAATGTCTGCCCATGAATTGTAGCTGTCCCCAGGAATGCTTGTTTGTCTTGCACAGTGCTTAGTCAAATCTTTAATTAGATACTGATATTTAAAAATAGATACATTTCATTTAACAACTGGGATCTTTAACTTCTCTGAAAAAAAAAAAAAAAGTCTGTTAACACTGTGCTCACATTTCCACAAGGCAACAATCATCTGGATACACTTGTTGACACTTAATATTGTGCTTCCAGATCTGGGCCTTCAAGCCAGGTGGCAGCAAAGTATGGTAGCCCAGCCTATGGCCTCTGGAGCTCAGCTGCGTGCATTTGAATCCCAGCTCTGTCACTTACTAGCTCTGTATCCCTGGGCAAGTTGCTTGATGTCTCTAAACTTCAATTTCCTCATTTGTGAAAGTAGGGTTGCTTTACTCAACAAATTTTTATTGAGCATCTACTATGTGCCAGGCACTGTTCCAGGCACTTGGGATATGTCAGTAAACAAAGCAAGCAAAGATTCCTGCTCTTGTGGTGTTTATATTGTAGTGGGATAGACAGGAAATAAACAAAGAAATAATAAATAGATAAATTATATAGAAAGGTAGTAAGTACTGTGGGAAAGCAAAAAAAAAAAAAATCCAAAGTGCACAGGGAAAGGAGTATGGGGGCATGGTTGCATTTTTAAATAGGGTAGGTGCTCAGGGAAGGCCTCACTGAGAGGGTGACATCTGAGCAACGATGTGAAGGAGGTGAGGGAATTGACCAAGTGGTTAACTGGGGAAGAGCCCACCAGCAGAGAGAACAGCTAGGCAAAGGCCCTCACTGAGGCAGGAGCCTAGCTTGTTGGAGGAGGAACAACAAGGAGGCCAGTGTGACTGGAGAGGAGACAGGAAGTGGGAAAGTGGTGAGAGTTGGGGTCACAGGGGAAGGTGGGGGATGTGGTAAATTGTGTAGGGCCTTGTGTGGCATGGCAAGGATTTTGGCTTTTACTCTGGGTAAGGTGGGAGCCATGGGAAGGTTCTGAGCAAAGGAGGGACATGACTTATGTTTTAACAAGATGTGTCTGTCTGCCCTGTGGAAATCAGACTGGGGTGGGAGTGGGGGTGTGTGCAAAAAGAAGAAACAGGGAGACCACAGAGAAGCTGATGCAATACTCCAGATGAGAGGTGATGGTGGCTTAGACCAGGGAGCTAATCGTGGGGATAGTGTGGAGTAGTTGGGTTTGGGATGTATTTCCAAGATTGAGTTGACAGGACTTGATGGATTAGATTCAGGGTGTGAGAGAAAAAGAAGAGTCAAGGATGACTCCAGGGTTTTGTCTAGAGCAGCCAGAAGGATGGAGCTGCTACTGTCTAAGATGTGGACAATGAAGTAGAGGCAGACTTGGGGGGCGGGAGATGATAAGGAGGACAGTTTGAGATAACTGAATTGGCGATTTAACATCCAGGTGAACGCTGTTGGAAATATAATTGTGGAGTTTGGGAGTGAGTTTGGGAATAACAGTCCCCATCTGTCTTAGCTAGTGCTGCCAGGCCAGAAATAGCGTAAGTGGGTGGCTTTAAAGAACAGAAATTTATTTTCTCACAGTTCAGGAGGCTAAAAGTACTGATTTAGGGCATGGCTTTAGGGGGAGGTCCTTCTTCGCCCATTTCAGCTTCTATTATAGGGCAATCCTTAGCTTTCCTAGGCTTATAGATGCATCTGCGGTGTGTCTGTCTTCATATGGCGTCTTCCCACTGTGTGTGTCTGTTTCTATTCCGCTGTTTTTACAACTCAGAAGGGATTAGGTTTAGGACCCACTCTACTTTGGTATGGCCTCATTAGCATAACAAAAGAAACCTCTATTTCCAAACCTGATCACATCCACAGGTACCAAAAAAACCCAGTCGTAGAGTTGATCCCCACTCATAGCAACTCTATAGGACAGAGTAGAACTGCCCCATAGGGTTTCCAAGGCTCTAAATCTTTACAGAAGAGAACTGCCACATCTTTATCCTGCAGAGTGGTCAGTGAGTTCAAACCACCAACCTTTCGTTTACCAGCCAAGCGCTTTAACCACTGTGCCACCAGGGCTCCTTCCACAGGTACAGGGGCCAGGAAATACGTATCTGAATACAATTCAGTCACACCACCACCTCATAGGTTGTTGTGAGGGTTAAATGAGTTCATGTCTATAAAGCCCTGAGAACAGGACCTGGCACCTGGCAAGTTTCAATAGGTGTCAGCTGTTCTTCTCACCCTGGAAAAGATCCCACCTTTGGCTCCAGTCCTCTCCCCAGGCCCCTGCCCTCTCATTCCCCTCCTTGTCTGCTGACCTTGATTGGGCATGGGATGAGAGCAATAGGTTCTCAGATGGCTGAGAAGTGTCCTTCCTACCTGACACGGGAGCGCCACACACTCTCATGCAGTGGACCACTGAGGTGAGTATCTCAACTCACCTCTGCGAGGCCTTAGGTAAGTGACTTCACCTCTCTGATGCTCAGTTATCTCATCTGTAAAACGACGACACCTTATATACCAGCTGCCATCAAGGTAATTCCAACCCATGGTGCCCCCATGTGTTTTAGAGTAGAACTGTGCTCCATAGGGTTTTCAAGGCTGTGTCCTTTGGAAGTAGCTGTCCAGGCCTTTCTTCTAAGGTGCCTCTGGGTGGATTTGAACCGCCAACCTTTCAGTTTGTAGCTGAGCACTTAAATGTTTGCACTACACAGGGACTCCTAAAATAAGGAAAATAATCCCTTTCTCGAAGGGTTATCATGAGAGCAAATGAGAAATAATGGATGTAAATGCCCAGCACAGAGCAGGTACACATAAAGGTCTCTTTCCTCCCTCCCTATGCCCCAGTGGCCAGGGAGAAAGGAGGCAGGGTCAGCGTCCATCCCAGCTGTTTATTGAAAGGGAAGGTGGTATGGCAAGGGTGTAGGATGCGGAGAGGCAAGGGGCACAAGGGCGGTAGGGCCTGGCCTGGAGGGGAATAAGGATCCTCCCAGGAGGATTGTCCAGGCTGAGATGGGTGGTGTTAGGGAGTGGCCAGGGGAGAGCCATGAGCACTTCTCTCCAGCTGTCTTGGAGCTCCCCCTAGTGGTGAAGAAAGTATACAATGCCACTGGCTGGGGACCCTGCAGGATGGAGACGCTGGTCCCTCCAGGTCAGACTCTGGGGCTAGAAGGGGGGACTTCCAGGGGGCAAAGACATCCCAGTTCTCCTGCCTCCTGGCTCTTAGAGGCCACTTAAATCCATGTCCAAAATATCTTCCAAGCTACCTGGGACCATCAGGCCTCCAGCTAGTCTCTCTGGGCCAATGCTGCCCCTGCCCAGTGAGTCCCCTGGGAATCAGGATGGAGTGAGGCCCTGGAACAAGCGCTGGAGTAGGAGGGGTCTGAAGATGTGGATCTGAGTCCCTGCAGACTGCCTTGCTGTGTGACGTTGGACACATCACCTCTCAGCCACCCTCGGCCCCTTTATCTATAAACTGGGGCCAATAATAGCCCCATGACAGGTGGACTGTGCAGCTGTGATGTCAAATGCATGTAGAAAGCATACTGCCTGGGGTAAATTGGGATGTTTTCACACCATCCTGGAGGGGAAGGCCAAGTGAGCATCTTTGACTCATCCTGAGGCAACCTGGTGGATGAGAGAATGACCCCTTACCCCTCCCCCAATCCTTGCCTATGGAAGGTAGTGCTTATACCCCGGGAGAAAGGAACAGGAAAGTCACAAAGCTTAGAATCCGGTCCAAACCCCTCACAGTACAGAGAGGCAGGAGCTGATGGTCTGAAAAGGTAAGGGGCTTGCCCAAGGTCACACAGTGGGAAAAGCGGGGGCCAGGTTGAGGCAGATGTTTTCTGTTCCTTTCAGGGCCTTGGAAAGGAGGAGTGGGTGTGACCTTTTAGGAGGATTTGGGGAAGACTGGCATCTTGGATAAGTTATGGTCCTATCCACGGGGGAGGGACAGGGAGATGATTTGACCTCCTGACTTTCTGACCTGGAGTTGGGCCTTTTGAGGGCTTGGATGAAACAGGCCCTGCTGAAAGGGAGAAGTCGGGGAGACAATGGGACGGCAGGGTGTCGTGGGGAGGAAGAAGGGCCCAGACCCCAGGCCCAGCTCCTCCTCTGGCCGAGTGGGCAGCTCAAGAGTCCCGCTTGGGCTGGATGGTCAGCACAGAGGATTGCCCAAAGGGGCTAGCGGGTGTCGAGAGCCATGACTGACTGCTGGTATCACAGAAGATGGGGGACAGCTGCTCCTCCAGCTCATCCCCAAAGACTTCCACATGGCCGTCAGCTTCAGTGTCCAAGGGCTCTGCTTTGGTGTCTTGGCTCAGCCAGCCAGTCATGGCCCAGAATAGGCAGAAGGCCAGGAGGACTCCAGCTGCTGCACAAAGCGCCATGCCTGCCAGGCGGCAGGTGCGCAAGGCCTGGTTGTAGTCAGCTGCCCGCTGATCCAATACCAGGAACTCACCCTCGCCGATGCCCTCCAGCTTGGGGGGCACCGCATAGCCAGTGGTCAGGGCTGCCACACCCAGCAGCAGAAGCAGGGTCCCTGAGGACAAACTGATCTGGGGAGAGACAGAACAGGAAGCAGTCAGGGTCAGCCAGGGGCCCCAGGCCAAGGGGTCACCTTGGATCCCAATGGGATTTAAAGGACACTTCTTGGTCCAGCCTTAAGAGGTGGGAATCACAGAACACACGTGCTGGGACCTAACTGACAGGGGCACAAACAGTCGTGTTCTATTTGGAATCTTGAAGCTTCTTGATTAATTTCCTTCTCAGCTCCCACCCAGCAGTGGGTTTCTCCTGCCAACCTCGAGTCCCCTCCTGTATTATTTGGGTCCCATCTTATCTCTGTGTCCCATTCACCCCTTTCTCTGTAGAGTTAACACCTACATGTTCCTCAGATCTCATCTCAAACCTCACTTCCTCCAGGAAGCCTTCCAGGACACCCGCAGCCTGGGTCAGGTCCCTCCACTCTGCACTCAGGCAAACACTGTGCCCATTTGTTCTTCAGTGTGCTCACCTGGGTGCACACTTTGACATGTATTTTGGTTCCTATATAAGTGATGAGGAGCCCTGGTAGCACAGTAGTTAAAGTGCTTGGCTGATAACCAAAGGTTCTATGGTTTGAATCTATCAGCTGCTCCATGGAGAAAGATGGCGCAGCCCGCTTCTGTAAAGATTACAGCCTTGGAAACCCTATGGGGCAGTTCTACTCTGTCCTACAGGGTTGCTATGAGTCGGAATTGACTCAGTG